TCACCTCTCTAAGTCTTGGGGCCAACACTTTTCTCGGCCAACGCCTCTCCCCTTCGCTCTACCTGCCTGTGGTATGTCTCTTCGGATTTCCCGTTATATATTTGTCCATTTTTCTTCATTTTCTTCAAATTTTTGTACTCTTCAGCTGAATTTTTTTGGTGGGTAATCGCAAATTGCTTGTTGATTATTGTATCTTGTAGATTGGTAGCAAATTATGTGTGTGTTAATGAAGTTTGTATTGGACATTCACTTTATGAGTACTTTCTTGTGAATCCTTGGAAGTTTGTATTGTGTATTCTTTGTATCCGTATTTGGTTCGGCCCCGGAAGTATAAGGAAGTGATGCTATGTTGTTCATAGGTTGATAATTTTTAATTTTCAACCCTATGTTGGTAAAAATGAAAAGGGGATATGAGGAGAAGATTCAATTTATTGAGGGAGAGTTGAAAAAAACTATGGGAATGATTGAATAAAGGCAAAGGTAGTTAATGAAAAATTATTTAAGAAACATTTTGAGCCATCCCTGATATGCACCTTACTTTGGAATGATCAAATTTCATTTGGTCGGGATGATTATCTATTTAGTTAATCAAATTACCACTCCACGCAACGTCTTCGATTTTCTTAACATTTTAAATGGGACGAACGTGTTTCTCATTAGCTGTAAGAAAGAGCATCTGATATCATATGTTCGTATAATCATATGTTCATATGTGCAAACTTGTATTTACCACATCTGAAGTTATTATATATTATGTTTTGATTAACTAGCGATAACAACTGCTTATGAGAAGGGAAACTTTATACTCATGTTATAATAGGGGTAATTTTGCGTCACCTCCTTAGTCATTAACTTCAAATTGGTAGACATATGACTGTAGTTATGTGCAAGAAATTTACTGCACATAAGCTAGTTTGGTGGGTTCATATCGATGTGTTTCTGAGAAAACTTCATGAGTTATTTTTTACCCTTTTTTTTGTATTTCCATTTGCCTCTAACTTGTTGTGGGTGGGCTGGCTTTCTATGAAGGCCCTCAAAATAGAAGTAGCTTTGGCTTATTTAGTGACTTCAACTTTTGTACGTCAGGTTAAAAAACCAGAGCAGCCAGTTCGAATTGTTGCAAAGGTTAGTCTCTTAATTTCATTGTTTTCCACTCAGTCATAAACCATTATTGGAAGCAAACATGTGAACCTCGTATATTTTTCTTGAGAAACATGTCTTTTCTCATAATAATGTTCTAAGACGTGGAAAATGCGGTTCAGTAGCTAGAAAACTTACTCTTCAAGTTTCTCACCTTGGTGAAAAGATATATTTGAGCTATTTGACTAGTGAGTGTATAATCTTTCAAATTTCACCACAGTTCAAGCGATGGGAGAGAAAAGAGTGTAAACCAAACAGCCTACCAGTCATACACAAGATGCATGTTAAACAAGGGGACACTGTAAAAGTTATATCTGGAAGAGACAAAGGTAAAATTGGTGAGGTTACCAGCGTTATCAAGCATAACAGTACCGTAGTCATAAAAGATATTAACTTGAAAATCAAGCATGTCAAGAGCAAGGAACAGGGAGAACAAGGGCAAATCATCAAGGTCTTCTTCTTCCTCATCTCTGTTCATTCTTAATTTTCCCGACCTATAATTTGAAACTCAAAATTATCTTGGGTGAACCATTTCGTTTAGTAATGACGAGATTCAACTTTTCAGATAGAAGCACCTGTTCACAGTTCAAACGTGATGCTTTACTCTAAGGAGCAGAATGTGGCGAGCAGAGTTGGTCACAAAACCCTGGAAAATGGTAAAAGAGTTCGGTACCTCATAAAAACCGGCGAAATCATTGACAGTGCTGAAAATTGGAAGAGAGCGGTGAAAGAGAAAGAAAAATCAACTGAATTAGCTGCTGCCTCGTAATGGACAGGTGCTACTGAATTTACCTGACAATTCTTGTGTGATTCTTGTGTGAAAGATCAGTAATATATGCTCCTTTGCGCAGCTAATATTTTTTGGACAAATATTTTGCCTTCCTCCAAACGATCAAATTAGCTTAATTCTTTTTCGTGGAGACATACGGTGTATGGTGCTTTTGGCTTGTGAATACTTATGCATTCACTTGTTTGATAGGATTCCTGAATCTTTTTTCTTTTATTATTAAATTTTTCTTCAAAATTTGTGTATTGTCTGCTAGTCACCACTTTACTAAGTGCCCCTGAAGTCAATTGAAACAAAAACTGAAGTCTCCTGTATATTATTACATAAACGCTAAGGTGTAAGTTGATTGCTCATTACTTAAATAATAAACCTGGAATCAGAACATGAATTGACAGATTTCAACTAGTTCCTGTATCTATTATGCAGAGCTGTGAAAACGGGGCGGGGCCTACCTGCCCCGCCCACGAAAGGGGTGGGCCTGGTTTTTCTGGGCCCGCCAGGAGGGGCCTAAACGAGCCACCCTGAGCGTGCTGGGGTCCTGCAGGCTAGCCTGCCTATTTTTATTTTATTTTTTAGAATAAGCTATATATATAATAGACAGCTATGATTAAATGAATTCAAATTCGAAATCAAGGTTGTTGATTTCGAATCTCTTGAATAGGGTACAGGGCACGGCAAACACACACCACACGGGCCGGACCGCATATTTTTTCTTTAAATAAATTATATGTATAGCAAGGTTTTAAATAGCGGGCTAAAACGTTTATGGCACTGTAGCTATAGCGGAGCTATAGCGGAGATTTAGCGGGATTTAGCGGCTAAATTACACATGAATACAAATAGCGGCATGCTGCCAAAAAAAGCTATTTCTCAAATAGCGGCAACTTTAGCGAGCTATTTATTTCCTTGATGTATAGTAGATGGCCAGGATTAAATGAATTCAAAACCGAAATCAAGGTTGTTGAATTCTAATCTCATTAAATAAATTATATGTATAGTAGCTGGTTCCCGGCCACATTTTCGGCCAGGCCTCTGCCAAAAAAAGTGGGGAACGGCAGCGGTGGCCTACGTGGCTAAGTAGGCTTGAACATCGCCCCTAATCAGGGGTAGCCTTTTTCTCCCTCGCCTATCCCCTTGGAGGGCTTCTCCGACCAATTCCATATCAATGGCGTCGTTCGACGAAAACGCCGGGTTGGCCACCTCAAGCGGCGACGAAGACTCCATGACGGACGCCTCATGCAATGGTGAAGACCTCCAGGTCACCACCACATGCGGCGATGATGAAGGACCAACAATTTCTCGGGGGAAAGACATTAATTGGCAAAAAATTGAAGAGCTAAAAAAGGGTATTACCGAATTTGAAAGCTTCAAAAGACTACAAAAATGGCGGATTCAGAGCTCTCGAGAAGATGAAGATTGCGCAATTCGAAAAGTATAATATTTAGACTTATGGGGACATCCTATATATATAAAAACTTCTCAACCAATGGATCGATGCCACGTCATAATGTAAAGAGTCGTTTTGAAGAAGAAAATCGTTTGAAAAAGTGGAAAAAGTGAAGTCGTTATTTCACAAAAACCAACGCGCACGGATCCCAAGGGTCATAACTAGGGGTGAGCATGGTCGGTACGGTTTGAAGATTGATAAATATCTGGAACCGTACCAAAATTCGGAGATCACTAAAATTCGATTTCTGGAACTGTACTAAAAAATCGATTCGGTTCGGTTTAGAGTTTTTGTTTTCGGTTCGGTTCGGTATT